TAGTAGTAGTAATAGTGTTAGTGTTAGCATTAAACATTGTTGTTTTCATCCAGTTGAAGAGATCCGCGGATCAGGTTGCTGAGCCCCTCCAATAATTCCCAGCTTTGATTCTTACCCGGAATAAGCTGAAGTGAGTAATTTTCATCTTCCTTAGCAGGGGAAAGTGTTATTTTAATCATTTTGAAACGAGCCTTCGGATTAGCTCCATTCTGCCGTTCCCGCTTTGGGCCCCAAGCTATTTAGAAGCAGATCCGCCCAAAAATTTTTTTTTTGCCGAACTTCCAAAGCAAACAATGCCAGATTAAGATAGATGGCCCCGACCAGCCGATTTCGGGTGCAGAGAGGCGGTCGAAATTTGGATTCCTCTTTAATACGAAGGTGGCTTTGAACCATTTCCGAAAATCCGAAGGGGAGCTGCCGGGCGCCCTTACCTAGCATTCCAAAAACTGTCCAATGGGTTCCAAATATTTATTTTTATATTTTTCCGTGGGAACCAACTCTCCGCACTGCAACGCACGGATTAATTTACGGATCCTGCTTGAGAACCGCGTCCTATAATAAAACGTGTACGCAACACACAACGCTCCCTCAACTCGACTTCTTACATGCGCCCATCCTAACGATTTTGGAAATACTCCAATACACCTTGGTACGCCACCTTCCCAACAGCAAGCAAGCAAGCGAACAAGCACGACCCCTCTCATTACAGCTAAGAAATACCACTCATACCAAATCGTACGGTGAAACTAGTACGATGGTCCCCAAGATCCGTATCGGTCCAAACCCGGTTTAAAGAGAGACATTTTATCCACGATTTCTCTAAACGCGGTGTGAAAGCGAACTGCTCGTACCGGCGGAGCGTGTTCCGCGTTGTGGAGGCGAGTAGGAAATATATATATATATCTGACAGAACCATACAGATTAATTTTAAAATAGTCCTTTATTTACGAACCAGGAAATGAATAACTACCACCTTAGCAAGGGACCCTCTGGATCAGCGAAACCAGTTCTGGTCAAGGAGACATCGCGGGGAATCGAACTCCCTACCGCTGGCGCCGCCGACAGAGGCCTCAACCACGGAGCTATGAATGCATGAAAACTGGAGGTTCCCCCTCATCGGGGAGAAAACCCAGTCCGGAATGAAGACGGAGACCAATTTTTACGCACCTCGGAAAAGAGCAGAATGCTTTTCGGTAGAAAAATATAAAAAAGAAATTGTTTTTAATGTTTCTCGGAAGCCATTGCTGGGGTTTCTAGAATGGAGAGCCTTTTGGAAAAGCGGGGGGAAGGAGAGCGAAAGAACAACGTCTCTTTACGCCACCAGACGGCGGGATATGAGAAGGAAAAATGTTAATCCTGGGTGCTAATGATGAGGATTCTCCGGGTAGGCGGAGAGGAAATCCGAGTTGGGTTTTGACAGATCCGAGAGAAGGGCGCGGAACTGGGCGGCCCAGGCGGGAGGGGGGTCGCGAATGCCAGCCAGCCTGGCCTGAGAAAGAGGTCAAAGCAGGCCAACGGAAGCTCAAAAGCGGCTTGGAAAGGTGGTTCTGTTGGCAAAGGGCGCGCGGCGCCAAAAATAACGAAAGCGAAAAGGAAATAGCATCGGATTTGAAGCGAGTTTCAAAAGCGAGGGGAAAAGGTGGGACCTTAGAGTTTTTTTTCCAGGCTGGGACAGGATCTCCTCCTTTTTTCTGTGGATTCTCGGAGGAGGAAACCGTGGCTGAGAACAGGTAGGGCAGAAAGAAGAAGAAAAGGAGGAGGCGGTGCGCCCAGGGCGCACGGCTCTCCAAAAGCGCACCGCTCTCGCCAAAGGCGCACGGCGTGAAAGAGGCGTGGGCGCGCACCCAAGCGCCTTCCTTATCATCACACATGGAGGGCCGCCATACTCCCGAAGCGAATTAATCTCCTACTCGCTTCTCCCTCCCCAGTTCTGCTACCCTTCTGAGATTCCAGACGCCCTCCTTGACACCCTGACCCTCCCCTTCCTTCCCTCTCACCCGCCTCCCGCTCGGGCCTGGCGGCCTTCCATGTCAGAGTTCACGGATCTGCCCAGCCGCCTTGAACTTCCAGCTGTAAAAAGACGGATATTAAATCCCTTCTAATGGATCCCGCGCGAAGAAGGGATTGTGTTTCCATGTTTCCAAAGGAGAGCGAGGGTGTTTGGGCGGGGGAGAGGGGAAAGCAGTGAACATTAAAAGTTTTTGGGGGTGGTGGTGAGGGGGTGGAGAGGGATCAAAGCTGACTAGGAAATGCTCCCCCTTTCCTTTGTACCCGCACATCCTAATATGTGGCTGCACCTGGCTTTTTAGTGTGTGGGGGAGAGGTGGTCGAAGATGGGGTTATTACCTCTTAGAGAAGTTTTATTTTATTTTCAATTTTTAATTAATTTTTTAAAATTTTTAATTTTTTAAAAAAATTGCTTCTTGATTTTGGAGGGGAATATTTTCTCAGGCCAGAAAATATTTTCTTGGCCCACTGGGGTGTAGGCTTTGTATGCATAACTGCCGGCCACATACAAAAAGGCCTGTTTGATTTCCTAT